GTCACATTTTGGTAACTATTATTAATTTTTTATTTATTTAAAAATATACATAACAAAATTCGCTATCTTAACCTTTTTTTCCATTCTTTTTTAAAACTTTTTTTTATTGAGTTATAGTCATTTTACAATGTGGTGTCAAATTCCAGTGTAGAGCACAATTTTTCTTCTATACATGAACATACATATATTCATTGTCACATTTTTTTCACTATGAGCTACCACAAGATCTTGTACACACTTTCCTGTGCTATGCAGTGTAATCTTGTTTATCTATTCTGCATATGCCTGTCAAATCTACAGATTTTGAAATCCCAGTCTGTCCCTTCCCACCCCCTGCCCCCATGGCAACCACAAATTTGTATTCTATGTCTATGAGTCTGTTTCTGTTTTGTTCTTTTGTTTGTTTGTTTTTTTAGATTCCACATATGAGTGATCTCATATGGTATTTTTCTTCCTCTTTCTGGCTTACTTCACTTAGAATGACATTCTCCAGGGACATCCATGTTGCTGCAAATGGTGTTATGTTGTCGGTTTTTATGGCTGAGTAGTATTCCATTGTATAAATATACCACATCTTCTTTATCCAGTCATCTGTTGTTGGACATTTAGGCTATTTCCATGTCTTGCCTGTTGTAAATAGTGCTGCTATGAACATTGGGGTGCAGGTGTCTTTTTGAAGTAGGGTTCCTTCTGGTTATATGCCCAGAGTGGGATTCCTGGGTCCTATGGTAAGTCTATTCCTAGTCTTTTGAGGAATCTCCATACTGTTTACCACAGTGGCTGCGTCAAATTGCATTCCCACCAGCAGTGTAGGAGGGTTCCCTTTTCTCCACAGCCTCTCCAGCTTTGTCATTTGTTGACTTTTGAATGATGGGCATTCTGACTGGTGTGAGGTGATACCTCATTGTAGTTTTGATTTGCATTTCTCTGATAATTAGTGATATTGAGCATTATTTCATGTGCTTTTTGATCATTTGTATGTCTTCCTTGGAGAATTGCTTATTTAGGTCTTCTGTCCATTTTTGGATTGTGTTGTTTGTATTTTTCTTATTATGTCATATGAGCTGCTTATATATTCTGGAGATCAAACCTTTGTCAGTTTTATCTTTTGCAAAACTTTTCTCCCATTCTGTAGGTTGTCGTTTTGTTTTATTTCTGGTTTCCTTTGCTGTGCAGAAGCTTGTAAGTTTCATTAGGTCCCATTTGTTTATTCTTGCTTTTATTTCTATTGCTTGGCTAGACTGCCCTAGGAGAACATTTTTGAGATGTATGTGAGATCATGTTTTGCCTATATTTTCCTCTAGGAGGTTTATTGTATCTTGTCTTACGTTTAAGTCTTTGATCCAACATTTTGGTAATTCTTGCAGTATTTCAAACCTTCTGCCAGTGGAAAGATTATGACCGGCTGAGATGACTAGCAAATGTTTAGCAATATTTAGTAATAAAGTATTCTTTAATTAAGGCATATATGTTGTTTTTTAATACATAATGCTATTGCATACTTAGTAGACTATATTATACATATATATAACTATTATATGCACTGAGAAACCAAAAAAATTCATGTAACTTACTTTATTGCAGTATTCACTTCATTGTGGTGGTTTGAAACTGAACCTACTGTATCTCTGAGGTATGCCTATTTATGAAATGTTCAATAGACAAATCCATAGAGACAGAAAGTAGATTAGTGGTTGCCAGTAGGAGGAAATAGGGTGTGACCCTTAATGAGTACAGTGTTTCTTTTTGGGGTAATGAGATGTTCTGGAATTGGATAGTGGTGGTGGTTGTATAACTCTGTGGGTTATAGTAAAAACCACTTTAAAAGAGTAAATCTTTGATATGTGAATTATATCTCAATAGAGCTGTTATTTTTTAAAAAGTTACATTGTATCATTAGTAAATAAAATTAAATTAAGAATTATTTTAAAATAGTATTTCTATGTATGGCTTAAAATTTTTATTTTGTGTGACTCTTTTGTAATACTAGAGCAATATAGTACTACATGTGGGATTTAAATATGTACTTTTTGGGTATGTATGTTCCAAGGCCTTACCTCCCTTCCCACCCCCCTTTTCTCCTTTGCTAATAGAGATGCACACTTAACCAAGAGTTTGGAGATCACTGCTTTAGAGTTGCAAAGATGAGGGGACGTGTCTAGGTTCCCTTTAACAATAGCACTTTATTTCTAGTATACAAGAAATAGACAGGGAAGAGGTAGACAGGGCATTGTCTTTTTTAGGTACACTGTGCTTTTAAGATTGGGAGGTACATCAGGCCTCATGGAAAATCAGAAGGTGTTACACAGTGTTGTTCTAGATACAGTCTGAGGGAGAGGGAGTTACTCAGCCTCTCAGTTTGCATCCCAAATGTATACTTCCCAGGAGATTGGGAATCCAGTTGGATTGGTTTGTCACCATCCAATATGGAGTATCTCGTTTGGGCATTGTTTCATCCCAAACCAAGTTAGAAGGCCTTGCTCATGTCCAACCAATGTATGATTGCTTTTGACTTTGGCACTATTCTCTATTCAAATAAATTGTGACCAGGGTAACTTGAGGATTTCTTGTGAGACATGTGGCAGGCCCTAGAGATTGATAGACCTTTTTTCCAGTGTAGCATGGAATTTATGGAGAACTTTGTGGAGGCACTATGGTGGTATAGAAAAAGCATGGGCTTTGCGGCCAGACGGCCTTTGGCTTTGTTTGTTTACTGTGAGACCTTGGATAAAGTTTCTTTATCTGAGTCTCTGTTTCTTCATAAATAAAATAGGAGCAATAATACCTACCTTGTAGGTTAGAATTAAATGAGATAGGATATGTAGTGTCTGGCAGAGAAGCTGACACATGGAAGGCGCTCGATAAATGTTCCCTTCTTTTCGTAGAGAAAGTGTATTGGATTGAGAAAATCATGTACATTTGCATTTCTAGTTCTTTCATATTTCTTTAAAGGTTAAGGAAACCATTTGAAAAGCCTCCACAATATAGATATTTTCACATCCTCCACCCCACCCCCATGGTCATTGAAGCATAATTGTAAAAGGACTATGTAGCTAGTAAAAGCCCAAAAAGATACAATAAATTCATCAATGTTATATAACTTGTGACAGTATAATTTGGGATTTTGAAACAGAAATTGAAAGATAATTGTAGCAAAAGTGATTGTGATGGTCACAAATCATTGATCATGGATTGGCATAAATCTACTTTGGTACACTGAGTAGGGGTGGGGGTAGGGTATGT